AGCCCCGAAGCCTGTCGGGCCCCCAACCCAGCTCCCACGGCACCTTCACCTTCCTCTCCAGCAGCCTCTTCTTCCTGATGGAGAGCGGCTCCAGGCAGATCCGGCCGCGCAGAGCCAGCTCGATGAGGATGCCACCCCGCAGGCCTGAAGAGATGCAGTCATTCCAGAAGGAGGTATAGCCCTGGGAGAGAGAGAGGATGGACAAAAAGGGAGAAGAAAGACGGGAAGGGGACCTACGCCAAGGACCCCCCCACCCCTCCTGGCCTGCTCAGGCGACTCTCCCAGCTCCTGTTAACAGCTCTGCCTCCCCACGCTGCTTCCCCAAAGGGAGAAAAGGGATTTCCCCACCAGGTGAAAAGCACCCGGCAGCCCCAACTACCCCCCTCCCTGCCCAAAACCTCCCTGTAAACATTGAGCAATTCAGGCTGTGCCCTTCCCACTGCACCCACAACCACCCGGCACACCCCAGTGCTGCCCAGGCAGCTGCACCCAATCCTGGATCATAAAAAATCTATGAAAGAGTGAGAAAAGCAGGGCCCTTTCCCCTGGCCAGCCCCCAGCCACAGAAGGACATTGCTGCTGCTGTGGGGCTGCAACCAGCGACATGAGCTCTGTGCTGCCCGGCCTCAGCGCCTGCTGCAGACATGCCCGGGGGAAATGGGAGTGAAATCTGCTCTTCTCCTTGAAGAAAGCCCTCACCAGTTCCAGGCATGCCCTAAAAATAATTAGCTAATAATTAGAATAATCATTGGAAATTATGAGCACAAAGAAATTGCTCATCAGGCCCGTGAAGAAGTTTCCCCGCTACCCATAGCACCATCCCAAGGGGCAACGGCTGCAGCAAGTCCCAGCTCCCACCGCAGGGCACAAGCGCTTCCCCAGCCTCTTGCCCACCCCAGCCTCATCACACCCCCCTTGCTCAAATCCACTCACAGACTTCTACGAGGGAAGAGAAGATTTCCAGTCAGGGATGAAGGATGGGAAAATACATCCCACCTCTCCCCCAAGAGCAGGCACTTTGGGGCTGGGGTGCAGCAGTTTGGGTCCCACCAGTGCTGGGGCTGCTGCTGACTGGATCTGCTCAGACTCAGCATGTTTCACACCTGCCCAAGCCCTGTTCTCTGAGCCCACCATGGGATGGGGTCCTCATCCCAGGAAGCACAAGCTCCAAAATCGTTAGGGCATTTGGCAAAGCAAAAAGATGATGCAGAGGTCTGGAAAATATGACCGACAAGGAACCAGGAATTGAACTGGAGTTTTCAGTATAGGGAAGAGAAGACAGAGGGAGAACAGGGTAAGAGGGTCAGACTCGTAAAAGGCATCAGCAAAATGTTCCCACTTCCACTGTGCATGGGAGAGTCCTGGGCTAAAATTGTAGCCAGAGAGATTGGAGCTGGCACCAGGAAGAAGCAACTGTCTGGACAAGAAAGCCCAGGAATGGTTTGCCCCTGGAGGGAGGGGGCAGGGAAGGGAAGTCTGTCCCTTGGGGTTTAAGAACATTCAACTGATGCTTCTCAGGAGAGAAGCAATGACCCTGGTTTGAAGCAATAGGACAGCCTAGGTGACCTCTCCATTCCCTTCTTCCACTTGTCTTTCATCCCTTGATTAGAACAAAGCCCGGTTGTTCTGGCCCGGTGACTGCTGCCCCATGGCACAGACGCAGGGTGGCAGTCCTTGGATTTCAGGGCAAGCAGAAAGCAGGCAGGGCTGCGGGGAGAGGCTGATCCAGGCCAGCAGCAGGGCTGGGAACAGGGCAGGCGCTGGTGTCTGAGATGGGCCTAAGGGGAGTGTGAGCCAAGTGGGATGCAAACTCACAACGGGCTTATTTGTCGGGGGACATTAATGCACCAGAAAGGCTACGGCCGTTTGTAGAGAAAGAGCAGGTCTAAAAGCTACCCAGGAGACTGCAGACAAAGCAACCTAGCGAGCCCCCTCCTAAGGAAAAAAGGCTGAGAACATGCAGCCCTCCTACATGGAAGTTTTTACAGTCCATATGGGTAAACTTTTGTCCCCAGTGTCTCTGTTTATACAGTGCATCTGGACATCGGGTTGCTCAGTTTGCGTAGCACAGAGAACCATAAATGAAATGAAAATCTCTATTTGCTTTCTTCATTTCCTTGTGAGGAAAGACAAAGCAACCTTTCATCCCCGCCCTGCTGATTTCCATCCATGGGAGATGCATTGTTTTTTGCATGCGCCCTTTAGGAACAAATTCTCCAGCAAAGGGTGTGGAGGTGACAGAAAGTTTCAATTCACTGGGCTGGAAGGCACATTAGAAAATTTTAAGGGGTCTGAAATCAAACAAGTCGAAAGCTCCGGGGTTACTTCCAGCTTCTGGAATCAGACTGGTTACAAATGCCAGACTGGTGTGCAGCCAGTTTCTCCTAGATGGACAGACTGGTACTTAAAATAATGAAATTGCACAGTGAGCTCATTGGATTTGGCTAAATTTGTCTTGTTTTTTTCCAGTTATCAAACCACGAGTAAACAACAGGGCTGCAAAAACCCAGCACCTGGGAGCTCAGCTCATGGCCAGGCTACTGCTGCCTCTGGCCTTCCTTTGAGTTAGAGGAATGCGGAAGGACAGGATCGGGAAAAAAATTTTTAAAAGTGTCACAAGTTTTTTTTTTTCACATCTATTGTGCTCTCCTAACTTCCTGGTGGCTGAAGGACCATTCCCAGGAATACGTTAACCAAGCCAAGAACACTAAACGTAGCCCAGGAAGAAAGGAGACCATGCCATGTTCCTAGGCTGCTCTCAAATATTTGCTCCAAAATTATTTGCATTATGTTCTCTTTACAGCCCTGCTCTCCTGTTTGGCTCAGCAAGTCCTAGATCTTATCTGAGTTCTTCAAACAGGACAGCTACAAGCCTCCATCACTCACACAAACCGCAGCTCTCCCCTGACGGATCTGCAAGCGTGATCCACGTCAGAAGCCAGGACCTGGGCAGGTCTACATGAGAGCAAGGCGCCAGCTCAGACTAACTCAGGGCCCTATGGGAAAAAAAGTTCAGGCACCTCACAGGGGCTTAATTTCAACCCAGAGAAACAGATGAAGAGAAGGTGGCCATCTACCACGGCTTTGACAACCACAGTGTCTCCTTTCCTCCGGGTGGGATAGGTTCACAGGAAGAGTGCTCCTGGAGCTGCAAAACCTGTGTTTAAGGCTCTCCTCGGCCATTATCATCCCAAGAAGCACCTTGGGCAACTGGTTAGCTTCCCCTGGTCTCGATTTCCCCATCTGCTTGACAGGAATAGCAGCATCAGATTCCTCCAAAGAGATCAAGACAATGCACACACAAAGAAGACAAGGCATGCCGACACAGCAGATAAAGGCCAAGCAGCTCGGAGGACTCAACGCAAGAGGTCTTCTCCTTTCCTCATGGCTTGCTCTAGGCAGAACTGAGAAACAAGTTCCTACCAGCTGATAAGCACAAAACAATTCAGTTTGATCAGGGTCCCTTTCCAGCAGAGAAAAACCCCCTGAAAACACCTGGCTGTGCAGTTCATCCACTGCTGCCACAAAAGCCATTAAACTGGCAGATATGGGTGAGACGAGCACCCAGCAAAGTGATTCCCATCCAGCCCCACTTCCTCCAAGCCTGGAGCTGCACGATGCCATTCCTACCTGGCTAAGGAAATTACTGGCCGGAAAACAGTGACGTGGCTCCTGCATTCAGATCCATCCTGCACCTGCTTTCAGCTCCCAGTCCAGCTGCCTTCTCTTGCCTTGCCATCCTCTCTCAAAACCTGCCCCTGCTGTTCTTCACATCAATTTTTAACAAAGTAGAAACAGTGCTCAGAGTGTCCCTGTGTTTCAGCCAACAGTTTCGGATAGGAAAGTGCACTTGGGCTAAAGAAAAGGACATTTACCATTGGCTGCACAAGGTGAGGCTCCTTTTACCCCATGTCTCGGACCCCAGCAAAGAACACATCCACCTTTATTGTGGCATAAGGCACCCCTCGCCAGCAGCTGCTTCTCACCATCCCTGTGCAGAGCTGGTGGGACAACACTCGCAAGCAATCTCCACAGCTCAGTTTAAGTCACAGACGAAGGTGGTTTGCACTAGCAGGCTGGTTTTGTTGAAGAGATTCAGAGGAACTCATACGATCCCTTCTGCTGCTCACAGAGAACCTCACCTCTGGGTGCACCAAGGCAGCGCTGCTACTGCTGCACACGCAGCCGTCGGAGACGCCGGCCTTACCTCCTTGTCCTTCAGCCCCAGGAGTAGCACCTCCTCCATGAGCGTGAGGCGGATATCTTTGGAGTCGTCAGGATCATCATCATTCAGGTCCCTGTCTGCATCTTCCTCGCTGTCAGGCTTCTTGTCCGAGTTCCTTCCCGCCTCAGCACGCCGTCCTCGGTGCGTGAGTGTCGTCATCTCCCGCTGCGGCTGGGCACGCAGAGAACCCAGGTCTGCTCCGCTTCTAAACACGATGGATTAGGGCAGTGCTGAGCCCCAGGACCCAAAACCAGGTGCTGGGGAGGCACAGACAAGGATGAGGGACACTCACCCCTTCTGCCCTAGAGCTTTGGCGTGTCACCCTCCATAGGGCAGCTGGACAAGAGGGCCTGACAGGAGGCGGCTGGGCGGGAGGAGGTGACCGCACCTTCGGGAAGGGGAGGGAGAGCCATAGCCCCGTCCCCTCCCCC